CTATTATTACTGTACACTCCAGTCTGCATTTCTTTTAAGTCTTCTCATTCCATGATGGTTCATTTTTCTAGAATTTTTACAACATTTTTCCATTAGTTACATGAGTTCCTGTTACTAGAAATATGATCATCCTCTCAGTTTTAAAGAAACAAAGGAGAATTGATGAAACTGAAAGGTTCACTCAGTTTTACTGAGGAATTTTCTAGATTATACAATTTTACTTAGCAAACATATAAAGCTATAACTGATAGAGAAAGTTAGGTGCTCAGAGTAGCATAAAGACAGACTTGTTTTGTGTCTCCAGAAGCATGCAGTGGTGGAGGGTGGATAGAAGCAGTACAGAAGGCTCATATTCAGCCACCACGGGCCCAAATCGCTCGTGCATGCTACTGCATCTGCTTATGCATTCCCCTGGCAGCAGCCATACCCAGGCCTGAAATCACCTGTGCACACCACTGCAGCCACCCACACCCCCCTACCTGGCAGCAGCCACTTACCTGCCTGCTGGCCTGTTTACAAGCCACTTGGGACTTGCAACTTCCTACCGGCTTCCTCACTGACTTTGGTTGTTGGAAGCCAACAGAAAGTTACAAGGAGGTCCTCACTTAATGATGGCAACAGGGACTGCCGGGATTACCATTGCTAAGCAATGCAGTCATGTAATGTTACACTTTATGACCGCATTGCTTAGCAATGGAAATTCCAGTCCCAATTACCATTGTTAAGTGAGGACTACCTGTATAGGAATGCAATGAAGCAAAGGCTTAACTGAATAAATAAGTTGTCAGTTTCTGGTGAAAGAATTTCACAGGGGAAAAGGGCTTTTCATCTCTTTTAGATGTTTATTCTGCTATACATAATAAGCACCCTCACACCATAGCCCATGTAAGTAGGGCATATACAGCAAGGCCCATGTAAGTAGGGCATATACAGAAGTTAATATTTTATTAGATAAAATTGATACTGATTTGTTTAGAATCTTACAGACTACAACTATCTGAAAATGGCTCAGTGGTTTATTGGCAGCTGATCTACAGCTAAGACAAATATAATATGTCCATGACCAAGGGATGCACTGAGTAACCTAGCAGCAGCATTCTATACTAGCTGCAGCCTTTGAACAGTTAGTTCAAGTGCAGTACAATAAACTAGTGTAGATGTTATGTTTCTCTTCATAGAAGTTTTTAGGTTTTATACCAACTGATACTGATTAGAGAGCCACTGAGGCTAGTTGGACTTCCACTGGCAAAGTTGAAACTACAAACACCCCCAGACTGTACACCAGTTCATAGAATTATAGGATTGCAAGGGACCTTGGAGATCTTCTAGTCCATCCCCTCGCCCAGGGCAAGAATACTCAGACCATCCGAGGCAGATGGCAGTCCAACTTTGGTTTGAAAACCTCCTGCGATGGAGGACCCATGACTTCAGGAGGCAGACTGCTCCACTGCAATATTTCCCCAATGAGGAAATTACTAGGTATTCAAGTTTGAATCGCTCTCTGTAAGGCTTCCACCCATTGGTTCTTGTCCTACTCCTGGCACATCCTTTTTCCTGTGACAGCCCTACAAGTATTGGAAGATTGCTGTCATGTCTTCCCTTAGCCTTCTCTTTTTTAGGCTAAACATACATAGTTCTTTTAACTGTTCTTCATAGGATTTAGCCTCCAAGTCTTACTCTTCTCTGCATTCTTTCCAGTTTCTCAGCATCTTTCTTATATTGTGGTAGCCAAAAGTGCATGCAGTATTTCAGATGCAGTAGAGAGGATCTGTCACTTCCCATGATCTCGATATTATACCTCTGTTGATGTAGCCCAAGATTGCAGTGGCTCATGTTTAGTCTATGATTTGTCAGGATACCCAGATCTCTCTTTCAGGTGCTGTTGCTGAGCCAGGTACCACCTGGTACCTGAACATCTGATTTTTCCTACTTGACTGCAGCACCCTACATTTCTTGCTGTTGAACTTCCTTTTGTTGGAAAAGACCCAATATTCAATTCTGTCAGCATACTATTTTAACCTTGAGCCTGTCTCCTAAGGAGTTAACAGTCCCCTCTTCTACCTTTGTGTCATCTGCAAATTTATTAAGCATCTTTTCTGTGCACTGGTCTAAGTCATTTATAAAAATGCTGAAGAGCACTGGGCCCAGGACCGAACCCTGAGGTACCATAATGGATACCTTTATCCATGTAGATGTAGATCCATTAAGGACATGTTGAGTATGGTTGTTTAACCAACTGAATCCACCTAGTAGTAGGACCATACATCCCACACTGTTCCATTTTATGAAGGAGGCAGCTATGGTCAACTTTATTAAATGCCTTACTGAAGTTTAGGTATACTGCATCCATAGCATTCTCTTGGTTGCTAATCTAGGCATTGTGGGAGGACAGCTGTGTTAGTCTGGTGGCAAAAAATCAGAAGGTGTGTGGTAATACCTTTTTTGACTAACAACTTTTATTAAAAGATATAAGCTTTTATGAGCTGCAGTTCACTTCATCAGGTGGTACCAGGCTCCTTTTACTCTAGTCAATTTGTCAAAAAAAGCCATAATATAGTCTGGCACAACCTGTGTTTAACTAACTCATGAAGGCTTCAAGTAATTACCTTGTTCCTTTCTAAGTGCTTGCAAACCCACTGCTTTGTGATCTTTTCTAGGATTTTCCCAAGTACTGATGTCAAGCTGATTTGTCCATATTTTGTTCCAATCTTTCAAAAAAGGGGAAACATGCTCTTCTCCAATCAGCCACTCTTCTGGTGCTTCTCCTGTACTCAGGAGTCCTCAAAGATTACAGTTTATATATTTATTTTATTTATTCGTCATATTTATAGGGCTGCCCATCTCACAATCAAGTGACTCGGTGGCATACAACAAGGTTAAAAACAATATATACAAATTAATATTAATGTTATTAATATTAAAAACTTAAAACTTAGTTTTAAAAAGGCACAAAACTAAAACAGAATAAACAAGAGATTAGGCATAGAGGAGGTGTTAGTTACACTGGAGCCATCTCAATATTTTTCCAGTTCCCTGGGGTCCCCAAGCCTGATGACACAACCCGGTCTTTAGGGACTTCCAGAAAGTTAAAAGGGATGAAGCCAGCCTCACTTTGTGCGGAAGGAAGTTCCATAAAGTGGGGGGTCATGGAAGAAAAGGCCCACCGTGTAGGACCTGCCAAATGAAGTTCCCTAGCTGATAGGACCTGCAGCATGCCCTGTCTGCAGGATCTGGTGGTATGGGTAGATGTAATCAGGGAAAGATGGTCCCTCAAATAATGGTTCTGAGATCGCTTCCTGTAGTTCCTTAGCACTCTGGGATGTAATCCATCTGGCCCCAGTGACTTGAATTCATTCGAAGCAACTAGGGTTTCTCTCACCACTTATTTGCCTGTTTGACTGTCACTTCTCTTCTGCTCCCCCCCCCCCCCCCACCCTCTTTATGGTTGGGTCATTTTTTTTTTTTTTGTAATAACAAATGCAAAATAGGAATTAAGCAGTTCAGACTTCTCCCTGTTGTCTGTTGCCATCTTCCCCAGCCAGTGCACTGACTGTTTTCTTAATCTTTCTCTTGTTCTACACGAACTCAAGAAATGTTTTTTGTTATTTTTGGTTTCCTTGCAAGCCTCCACTCATTGTGAGCCTGAAT